TTCTTTTTTTTTTTTTTTTATTTTTTGTTCTGAGTAAAGTTCTAATAGTCTAATCACCGCTTCCAAATGCAACCTCCCATTTTTGCTCGAAACCAAGTCTTAAAGCAGCATACTACTGACGCTGCATAGGCATGCAGACCGATTTGTAGGGTGTTCTTAAATTTTCACATGATTAATACATAACAAGGTATTTCTCCAAATAAAAATAAATAAAAATATATATAACAAGGAACACTACTCATTGAATACCATAGGCAACCGTTGCAATCCATATCCCTCGGCTTACACGCCACAGGCATACTCAGAAGCCGTTATCACAACAGGGAAAAAAGACAGTTGAAGATAGACTGCATGGTTTCAAATATTGAGTTTCTTCCTTTACAAAAAACATCGGAGTTTCGAGGTGATGAACTCACATCCAATTAGGTAAAGTAGAGACCTCGAACAAATTGCATACAAAAAAATGGTAGCCTGAGAAATTGTTTTTACATGATACAATTCCCCCTTAATCCAAGGAAAGATCAAACAGAGGTATCACCAATTTGCCAAGAATAGGTTTTGCTTTTAATTGAAGAAACAAAATGGCAAGCAGCAAGCGTTTGTTCTTACAGACTGTTCTCCCTCAAATGGCTGAAGAGCTAACATGTTAACTTTTCAGAAATGGACTCTGACCCTCACGAGATAAGCTCCTCACACAGAATGAAGTTGAAGACGGTAGAAAGATGTCAGCATTCGCAAATCTGTGAACAGTTAGGTTTCAGGTTGGGCATTTATAGTCCAGGTGCCGCGCTAAATTCCTCCTCAGAAGACAAATTCTCTTCATCATCTGAATCCTTGTCTTTCTCCTTCATATCAACGTGGCGTGAATCCTTTTGTTTGTCCTTCTGCATAACAAGATTAGGGCTTAGTTTGCAGTAATCTGCATAGTAAATTAGTTGCAAATAAATTCCGATTATTCAGACTACTATACAATGATATAAGGATTTAGATCAATCAGACTAGCATGCTCATGTCTTCCACATGTTGAGTTTTTTTACTAGTGTATTCGCATCAAGTTTTTGTTTCTGGGCTAGTGCAATGTCCAATAGATGAATGCAGATAAATACAGTAGTCAGTCAGTTAAATCTTTCTCTAGACTCTTGCCTAGGGAATGTGGATGTTCACTTCCGAAACCCAAACCCTAAACACGAACATTAATAGTGTGGTACAGCAAGCTTCAATCTACAAAAAGAGCCTCCTGGGTTTTACGTGAAGTTTCTCCATTCACCAAATTTGGTGCACCGAGTGTCCTAAATAGCTGCATAAAATTATTGTTTAGGTTTTTCTCAAATAAAGGAGTAATTGATAGCCAATCTCATTTGATAGGAAAAGTCAGAGATGATAATAAGCTGAGTTCAGACCTTCAGATAATTCAGCAAAGGCTTTCTGCTGACAACTGAGATTGAGCCCAATCCTATATTGTTGTCCCGAACAAAAATATGGTCTATAATAAGGGTTGACAACAGGTCCTACATGTTTGCCTGCATTCTTAGGTAGACATGTTTCATATTAAAGAGAAGTGCTCCATAGCCAATCCCATTTGCTAGGAAAAGCTTGACATGGCAATAGCCTGAACTTCTGGATTCACATAACTGTACAAAAATGATGCAACAAAAAACAGAATAATCACAATCTCCACTTGAATTAATGAATAGTTTTTCCCACTGCCAATTTCTAGTGGATAAGAAAATATTTTACCTTTTTTAGCAGGCCTTCAGCAGACATGACCTCATAAAGTTTTTGCATAAGCATCTCTTCCTCTACCTGAAGGAATGGATAAGTAGTGGATAAGTAGTTTGAGCAAAAAAGAACCAAATATGTGATACAACAACTTAAAGAAAGCATGTATACTATAAAAACAATCATAAATAAGTACCTACCTGAAGTCTATGCAGTTCATGCGACATGGCTCTATATGATTCCATGAGGACTTCACTTTGCTTCTCCAGATGTCTGCATACCACAAAGGGAGAAAGATATAAACTAATGTGGAAGAAATTTTTTAGTAAAAAAATGAATCAGAGGGGAAAATCTCACTTGAACATATTAGCGGAGTTCTTTGCGTCCATTTTCAGTCAGAATAGTTATCCTGCATTAAAAGCAAGAGTAAATCTGTAAGGGTATAAGCTGATAAAATGTATATCCCAAGAAAAAAGAAGTTCCAAGACACATTTCACTAAAATATATTACAAATGTCCCACATATGGATTGTGTATGGCCCCACAGACTCCTCTCCTCGAAACTATAATTGGCATAATTTTCTTCTTTTTCGAAAAGCATGTATACTATAATTGGCATAACTTTCTTCTAAATCAGGATTGACAATGGTAAAGAACTCATGGAACTCGTTGACATGCCCATATCAACACAACGCGTACAGCAAAATGCCAAACTCGTCAACGTCATGTTGTAAATCGAAGTTAGTAATTCGATTGAATGCATACAACATCAGTGGGCGTGTTGGTTTCGACTGAGATGGTGGATGGTAATGGGTCAGGACGCAAGCAAGACAGTAGAGAGGAGGTCGACGCGCCGATGTGTTGGAGTCTTGGAGAAGATGAATCGGAGAGGGTGACGTTGCAGAGTTGGGCTTGTGTGGCTAAGATTAAAAGTGAGGTTGGGTTCAATTGTGATGGGCACATGTATATAGATGACAAACAAAACAATATGGTGCATAGGATGTGGGCCCCATCTAAATAGGAGAACACAAAAATAATACGAAGGTGGAGCATAAACTCTTTTTATATATAGTATGATACATGCTTTCTTTAAGTTGTTGTCTCTCATATTAGCTTCTTTCTTGCTCAAACTACTTACAGTGGTAAGCTCTGCCCTAACGGGTGGACTGAACCGTTGGGGCAAGTTTCACCAGCTCCAACGGTTCAAACCGTTGGGGCAAGTTTCACCAGCCCCAACGGTTCAAACCGTTGGGGCAAGATTTTTAGCCACAAAATTTTCCCCCCATTTATTTTAGCCCAAAAAAAAGAGGGAATATTAACCCCACAGAGGCCCCGTTCTCTCTATTTCTCTCTCTCCCACACACCAAAACCCCCCAAAATTAACCCGACGCGTCCTTCCCTTTCCTCTCCCCCTAACTCGGACCTTGCCTCCGCCACCGGAGGTCACCACAACCGCCGTCTGTCGCCGTCGAAGGTCACCGTCGTCGTCGGGGCTCGTCGATCTTGCAGTCTGCCGCCGGATCTCCCTCAAAAAACCCTAATTGTTCCTCCCCAAATCGGACCTCGCAGCTGGTAACTCATGTTTTAATCTTATTCTCATGCTAAGTCTGATATATTAAAAAACATGGTTGAGCAATTTTTGAAGCTTGTGCGAGTTACCTGGTGCTAATGGATTTTATGAGTCCTTCAAAATGAGAATAAGATCTGTGGATGATTGTAAAGTTGAGTATTTTGTTGGCCCATATGATTTCAAAGTATGCATGTCTTCACCAGAGAGATCTTGAGCAGTGGGGACTGATGTAGCTATTTGGTGTTCTAAACCAATTTTAGGTTTCACCAAAGGTCATGTTAGCTCACTTCTTTGTCTCGAGGAGGTTGCCATAACACCAGAAGTGACTTCAAGGGCTGTTTGTAGGAAGATTATTAGTGAGCTTGTGAACATTTATAAGGACTACCTGTCTTACAGCAGCCTATGATGGCAGGAAAGCTCTTTGCACTGCTGGAGCTTTACCCTTTACATTTCAGCAATTTTAAGATTATATTATAGCTGAAAAGGAGCAGTGAGGGATTACCTATGTTGTGTTGCTTATTGCTGTTAGCATTGTAGTTTTTCTTATTATGCTTATGTTTGCTATTCTGATGCTTTGCTCTTTACATTTCAGCAGTTTTAAGATTATATTATAGCTGAAAAGGAGCAGTGAGGGAATACCTTTGTTGTGTTGCTTATTGCTGTTAGCATTGCAGTTTTTCTTGTTATGCTCATGTTTGCTATTCTGATGCTCAGTGGCGACAAGGAATTTGGTGTTGCCATCAAGTATGCCGGACATGCTGATCTCCATCATCTTCAGCAGTTCTTGCATGAGAGGCAGTTGGATGCCCCACAAGAACAATGCAAGTGCTAGACATTGTTCTTGCGGAGAATCCCTTACAGAAGTAATGATGTTGTATCCATATAAATCATAGTCATGGTTGATAGTTTGTTGTGCTCATGTTTAACCGCTGTTTATCTTGTTCTTTTTCTCAGTTATGTCATGGTAGCAAGAGCTTTTTTTCTCAAAGAAATTAGAACCAACAGAAGATATCGGTGATGGATTAAAATGTTAGAGATGTTACTGCCAGTCCTTTCGCCCTATGCAGATGGGGTTCTCCTTAAACATAGGTAACATGTGGGAATTTATCTTAAATTGGTCCTATTTCCCTCCTTTTATGATTGCAAATTTGCAATTAGAATAGCATGCCACATGTTTAATCTGTACATATTGCTACGGACTATTTTTACAAGTCTATCCCAGTTATAAACTTTGCTGCGAAGTGCCTAAACATTCGATACGCATTGCGTACCTTGACAGAGAAATAACGTTGTATGTTTTGTATATTTTACTTGTCTTGATGATTAACCTCTTTTATTTTCATTGTCATTGGAAAGCTTCTTTCTTAATATCTCTAGGTTAAAACTTGTTTATGTAGGATTTATATATTTTTTATTCATATTTTTTAATGTCAAATTACCATTGAAGAAAGCCCTCAGAGGAATTTGAGTGAAGTTACTCACCGGAAATATTGACGCATGTGCTACAAGATTAATGGTCTATCAAATGAGCCCTTAGGCCAATTGATGTAACACTTCCCATTTTCTTTCTAGATAAAAAGTCGGTTCTGGATCTGATTACGATTCAAAAGATGGATTTCCACCTTTGGAAGAGAACTTCAACCACTTCACATTGGAGGACAGCGAAGAAAGTGAAGAAGAGGATGAATGAGGAATCCTTTCATCTTACAGTTCATGAATAAAAGAACAGGGAACATTCAGTATTGTGCTTCACCGAAGCTCCACTGTGTTTTATAGTGTGTTTTGTTGTCTACATAAAAGAATGATAGCTTGTTATAGTTGTTGGTTTAAATTATGTACTTAGAGGTTGTTAATCTTGTCGCAAAGCATTTGGATGTATTGTAGAACCTAGTTTTGATTAAAGCTTATGAATACAAATGTTATCTTTTGTCACACTTAACATGTGTGTATGCATTGTGTTTTTGTCTCTATTAAGAGTGATTAATCTTGAATGTAATTTTTTTTTTTTTAATTAGGTATTTGCCCCAACGGTTGTACCCGTTGGGGCTAATTAAGACCCCAACGGTGGTAACCCGTTGGGGCTAATTAAGACCCCAACGGTTACCACCGTTGGGGCTAATTAAGACCCCAACGGTGGTAACCCGTTGGGGCTAATTAAGACCCCAACGGTTACCACCGTTGGGGCTGATTAAGGCCCAAACGGTTCCAACCGTTAGGGTGTTTTTTCTATTTTTAAAATTAAAAAATGAAAATTTATTGTCCCAACGGTTGTAACCAGTAGAGCAAGTTTTTCAACCGTTGGGGCAAAGTCAGTCCCAACGCGATTTGCCCTAACGGGTGTTTTAGCAGCCCCAACGGTTGTAACCTTTGGGGACACGCTCAGCCCTAACGGTTATAACCATTGGGACTGCTACAGTTTTTAGTAGTGTTATCCATTCCTTCAGGTAGAGGAAGAGATCCTTACGCAAAAACTTTATGATGTCATGTCTGCTGAAGCCCTGCTAAAAAAAGTAAAATATTTTCTTTTCGACTAGAAATTGTCAATGGGAAAAGCTATTCATTAATTCAGGTGAAGATTGTGACTACTTTATTTTTTGTTGCATCATTTTTGTACAGTTATGTGAATTCATAAGTTCAGGCTATTGCCATGTCAAGCTTTTCCTAGCAAGTGGGATTGGCTATGGAGCACTTCTCTTTAATATGAAAAATGTCTACCTAAGAATGCACGAAAAAATGTAGGACCTGTTGTCGGACCTTATTATAGACCATATTTTTGTTCGGGACAACAATAGGGTTGGGCTCAATCTCAGTCGGACCTTATTATAGACCATATTTTTGTTCGGGACAACAATAGGGTTGGGCTCAATCTCAGTTGTCAGCAGACAGCCTATGCTGAATTATTTGAAGGTCTGAACTCAGCTTATTATCATCTTAGACTTTTCCTAAGATCTTAAGAATGTAATGGAAGATCTCCATCTCTCCTCCATTGCCTTCTCCAATTATTGAAGAAGTTCTGTAATCACAAGGTAAGCTAAGCTATGATTTCTTTCTCTCTGTTCTCATAGTTAAAGATGAAATGATATCTCATCATATTTTTGAATTTATCACAGATTATCACACATTTTCCCTTACAATCAGTGCATTAGTTTATCATGACATGAACCAAATACTGAAAAATATTTCATTCTGATGTTACACTAGTACGATGGTCCCTTCTTTGATCCTGCCATTGATCATGTTTCTGATTCTGAGACCTCGTTCATGCCATGCAATCAACTTCTTGTGTAGCGACAAACTAAGTTACTCTCAAGACGTACATATCTACGCCAAAGCAAACTTTCTTACATCAGGAGATACTCTACTTCCTCGAGACTACTACAGCCTCCCTTTTTGTAAAATACGATCCTTAATTTTTCCAATATATATAAAAAACCAGTGAAAAACATTCTCTCTGTACTTAAGATTAGGCAAATAGACATTAGACAGAAAACATTGGATAAGCTGAGTTTGTATTTATTACCCTATTATTATTATTTGGGTCCAAGTGCTTTTTAAAATTCCCACTGAAATGGCAATGACATTTTAACCATCAATCCCTCATCCTTTCATTGATTGATACTTGTTACCCTCCACATCTAGGAGAAGCTCTTGAGTTGTTAACTTTCCCATCCAACAGTGCTCACTTCTTGAGAGAAATTAAAGGGAAAGCATTAAGAAGCCAATTCTGAAAAATAATTTGGTTTAATTTGGCTATTTGCATAGGTACAATTCTTTTCTTAAAATAAAAGAAAATAAGGAATATTGAACACTAGCCAATCAGATGCAGAAATAGACCTTAATCTTGCTATTTTTATTCTACACGATCAAATGTAGAATGGGAACACTGATTTTTTGCAGGAATATAAACTCCGATATTGAGAATATGAAGGGAAGAAAACTAGAAGAAATTAATCTGTAGAGCTACGGAGAAAAAGAACTGACAAATTCTATCATGCAAATATTATGAACTATAATGGCACCATGAGCTATCAACCAAAATTTCTTGGCTAGCAGCAAATTATAAATTATAAATTACCTTAAAAAAATCTAAATTTCCGCCATTTCCCATTACCACAAAGCTACTAAACAATACAAAAGCTAAATTTGAAAGAGAGCAGATCATTAGTATTTTTTTTTAAAAACAAAAGCGCTGTTAGAAATCAGATGGTAAAGCCCATATCTATTGAAAAAAATTAAAACCCTAGAAAATCAAAATATGGAATAATTGTAATTTGAAAAAACCCTAGAATCTAAACTTACCTTCTCTTGATCTGAGGATTGGGGATCGGAGATAAGTGGAGATCGGGGGGCAGGAGACGAGATCGGAGATCGAGAAGTGGAGATCGAAGGACAGAAGATCGGAGGCCAGAGGTGATCGAAGGTGGAGCTCGAGCTCGAGAAAGAGGAGATCGTAGGCCAGAGGTCGAGCTCGAGCTTGAAAGGAGAGCTCGAGATCGAGTTGAAGAGGAAGATTTTTGAGATCGCGATCAATTTTTTAGAGGCGGAAGGGGGAGTCCCGATCGCTCTGGGTTGGGGTCGGTATTTGATAAAACTGATTTTGGGTTTTAAAGCAAAGTGCCGGTCCCACTTTAATCCCAGTTCTACGTAATACCAAGTAGAGGATTAGATTCAAGCCTAAGAACTTCAAAAGATAAATTTTAGTTTTAGACCTTTTTAGGAATTTATTGTTAAAAATCGATTCTTTTCAGGTTTATTTGTAAATCTCGACCGGTTTCAGCCAGCTAGTCAAAATTTGCAAATAAAATTGAAAAACTTTACGAAATTTAAAATCTCATGAAGTTATGTCCTTAATTAATTAGCGCTAACCAAAAAACTCGGTACAAACGGTAAACTACTTTCAACCTTCACGGGATTTTAATTTTTGTGAAGTTTATATTAAACAAATTTTATTGTTTTCGGGGAAAGTTGTTGTATTCATTGCTGCATTCATTACAACTTCGATCGTTACAATGAAACAAAAAGATAGCCTTTTTATAAGACTTGTACACAATGAAAACAAAAGAAATACAACTCTTTTCAAACAAACGCAAGATCCGTTTATCATCTCTTGCTTGCGTGGGTCTTTGGCCTGTGACGGGGATGTTGATATCCGTGGACCACCGGGCAATCAGATCTGCTCTGAGAAAATCGGGCAGAGCTTCGTCTATCCGCGAAGGGATATAGAAGCAGAACTTCGTCGATCCGCGTGAGATCTAGAAGTTTTAAAGCGTCTATCTCGGCTAAGCGAGATATTAGCTCTTCTTAGTATTAACGCCAAGGGCTAATACTAAGGCCAAGAGGGAACGGGTGATGAAGGCGCTGATGTAGACCTCTCCTCTCCTTGTTGAAGCGCTCGACCACTCTTCACTGCGGCAGGGCTTCGCCAAGGCTCTCCAAAAATCCTCCTCCTTTAAAATGAGGCAAAGGGGTTGCTATTTATAGGCAATGGGGCACCTAGGGGGCTTAGACACCCCTGGGGTGTCTCCAGAAATCCGAGACACCCCTGGGGTGTCTCTAGAAATCCGAGACACCCCTAGGGTGTCTCGGGATTTCCGAGACACCCCTGGGGGTGTTTTGGAATTCCTGAGACCTGTTGAGGTGCATTCGATTGTTTTCCCCGTAGATTCTTCGTCCGAACTCGGATTTGAGTGATTCCAGGTGCGTTGGATGCTTGACGAAGAGTTCGATCCGCTCTGGTGATTGGATTATCTGTAGAGTGGTTGAGGCACGAAGGGCGTTGTCCTTTTTGTGAACACCGCCGGGTTCCCGATTGGGCCGGGTCTTCGTTGTTCCGAAATCCTATCCGCTCACGTAGCTCGTCGATTCACTTCAGTCATTCGTCGACATCAATTGGACTCATGTGGATCGGATGGTGACGTTCATCGTCGCTCTTTAACACTGAACCGTTCGTGGAGACCTATAGGCAATTTTCGATGCCTACACCGTCAAGTCTCTTACTTCAAAAGGAAAGGGGTGAAACCCTATTTCTGCCACCTCCGACATTGCTCCTGCTGCCTCTAGTGTTATGCCACCTTCTTCGGGTAAGTTTGAATGACAAACCATGGGAATCACTTGGAGAAGGTGAACGGCTGATGTTCGAAGTTCTTCCGGCGCTGCGTTTATCGCTTGGCCGTCGTCGGAGTCTCGAGTTTGCAGCTGATGAATTGAGTTTGGCTCGTGTCATTGAGTTGACTTTGAACTACCTCCGCCACATTGTGCTGGCTTAGGGTTTCGGATCATCGTGTGTTGGCTTTTTGTCGCAACGCGTTGACCGGCGTTAACCCTTAGGATTTCGGATCGTCGAACGTTGACTCTGGTTGCAACGCGTTGACTGGCGTTGACCTAGGGTTACGCGTTGACCGGCGTTGACCCTTAGGGTTTCGAATCGTCGAACGTTGACTTTTGTTGTAACGCGTTGACTGGCGTTGACCTAGGGTTACGCGTTGGCCGGCGTTGACTCTAGGGTTATGAATCGTCGAACGTTGACTTGTGTTGCAACGCGTTGACTGGCGTTGACCTAGGGTTACGCGTTGGCCGGCGTTGACTCTAGGGTTTTGAATCGTCGAACGTTGACTTGTGTTGCAACGCGTTGACTGGCGTTGACCTAGGGTTACGCGTTGACCGGCGTTGACCCTTAGGGTTTCGAATCGCCATTAACACAGTTTATACTCGTACGTTTGCTGGAGTATACACAGTTTAAGCTCTTAAGGTATTGGAGCATCGCGGTCCTGAATGTTGGGGCTGCAGGACCAACTGTTAAAGCTGATTCATTTGCATGTGTGGATTTTATCCTGAATTTGTTGGGTGCTCAAGTCACGAGACCAACTAGTGGAGTTGATGCGTCAATGACTCGTAGTTATAGAATTTTTGGCAAATTCTCAGCCATCAACGGATTTGATGAGCCTTTACCGACTACCGTTTGAGTCGGGCTAGCATGCGGATTGTTTAAGTCCGTTCCGCATGTGACGTTGTGCTAAGAGAGTTAACGCTCTTAGTGCTACGATATTGAATACGTAGACTTCGTCTTTCTCACGGGAATAGACTACCCGGCAACGCGTGTTAGGCGTTGACTTTAGGATTTTTGGCTAATCCCCAGCCTTCAACGGATTTGATTAGCCTTTACCGACTACCGTTTGAGTCGGGCTAGCATGCGGATTGTTTAAGTCCGCTCCTATGTGACGTTTAAGCTAAAAGAGTTAACCCTTTTAGTGCTACGATATTGAATACGTAGACTTCGTCTTTCTCACGGGAATAGACTACCCGGCAACGCGTGTTAGGCGTTGACTTTAGGATTTTTGGCTAATCCCCAGCCTTCAACGGATTTGATTAGCCTTTACCGACTACCGTTTGAGTCGGGCTAGCATGCGGATTGTTTAAGTCCGCTCCTATGTGACGTTTAAGCTAAAAGAGTTAACCCTTTTAGTGCTACGATATTGAATACGTAGACTTCGTCTTTCTCACGGGAATAGACTACCCGGCAACGCGTGTTAGGCGTTGACTTTAGGATTTTTGGCTAATCCCCAGCCTTCAACGGATTTGATTAGCCTTTACCGACTACCGTTTGAGTCGGGCTAGCATGCGGATTGTTTAAGTCCGCTCCTATGTGACGTTTAAGCTAAAAGAGTTAACCCTTTTAGTGCTACGATATTGAATACGTAGACTTCGTCTTTCTCACGGGAATAGACTACCCGGCAACGCGTGTTAGGCGTTGACTTATCCCTACTCAGGCTTCGGGATAAAATTCCCCGTGCATCGAGTGCCCGGATTTGACAATCGTGTCTTTTCTAAAAGCAAAGACAGATTGAGAAACGGGAGAGGAAGAATTTTATATTCTATCTCCCGGTGCTGAAGAGGAAGAATTTTATATTCTATCTTCGGCCGGAAAGGAGACTTGGGGTGGGATCTCCACCCCCAGAATCCAGAATGGTGAAACTAGGAGTGGGATCTCCACTCCGAGAATCGAAAAGATTCAGATAACCCTAACTGTCGGAAGGTTTGGTTACTGAACCAAAGATGAATTTCTCGTTTATCGAGAGTGAATTGTGATTTTGGTCCTAACTGTAGGAAGGTTTGACCAAGCAGGAGTTTGAGATGATCCTAACTGTCGGAAGGTTTGATCACTCGATTTTGAAAGTGGACCTCTCGTTCGTTGGGAGAATCGAGAGGGGATTTTGATTGTGGTCCTAACTGTATGAAGGTTTGACCAAGGATCCCCTGTCGTTTAATTTGATCAGCGGATGGTTTGGTGAGGAAAGATTAACCTATCAGAGGATTGGATCTCACTTCACGAAAATAACTCATAAGAGTTAGAGAATTTTGATGAGAATACGAAAAGACATTCTGACCTTCAGAGTTCGAATGTGAATTTCTTATTCATCAATTCCAAAATGACTGGGTTATCCCTAAGAATACCCATGTGGTATTCTTCTGGGAACTTCCCGATGCATTGGTTTATCCACCCCCGGCTTCTCTTTTAGAACTGGGTTTGACTTTGTTATCCGACCGGGTTATCCTTAAGAATATTAGCGTAATATCCTCCAGGAACTTCCCGTCACATAATTCGTCCACCCCCAGTTTCCTCTGCGGAACTGGTTCGGATATTATTCTTAGTTACTTGACCGGGTTATCCTTAAGAATATTAGCGTAATATTCTCCAGGAACTTCCCGTCAAAAGTGGGAAACAGTTTAGACTCATATACCTATTGGAGTATGTAGAGAGCAGTTTAACCTCATGCACCTGTTGGAGGATTGAGAAGCAGTTTATACTCATATACTCTGTCGGAATCTTAAGAAGCAGTTTATACTCGTATACTTTTCGGAGTATTGAGAAGCAGTTTATACTCATATACTCTTCGGAGTGTCAGGGAGCAGTTTAACCTCTTATACCGGTCGGAGGATTGAGAAGCAGTTTATACTCATATACTCTTCGGAGTGTTGAGAAGCAGTTTATACTCATATACTCTTCGGAGTGTCAGGGAGCAGTTTAACCTCTTATACCGGTCAGAGGATTGAGAAGCAGTTTATACTCATATACTCTTTGGAGTGTCAAGGAGCAGTTTATACTCTTATACTTGTCGGAGTTTTGAGAAGCAGTTTATACTCGTATACTCTTCGGAGTGTATTCCTTGGTGGGGTGGAGGATCCTTCTGTGGTACTCGCAGTACGTTGGATCCGCAGAATCGCCATCTTCCTCTTGATGCGTGATGGGCGGGAGTTTGATTTTGTTGTTTTCGAGAAGGGTCTCGAAAATAGCTGGAACGTCTTCGTCTTTGAACGAGTACTCGTTTTGGAGCTCCTCGTCTGAATTCTCCTGTTGTTCCCAGGACTGCTGTTGTGACGTTTGATCATCGTCAATAACTGCTGCAGGTACGTCCTCTTCCTCATGAGGTACGAGATCCGAATCCAGAGGGTTAACCATCGGTTGGTTTCTCTCGACCTTTCGCCTTCTGATGAAGCGTTCAGCCTGTTCTCCTCGAGCCTTCAACTCTTTCCAGGTATTGAGCGGCTCTATTCCCATCACGTCCAAGATGTTAATGGACAAGTTGTTCTGACA